AAACTGGCCTGCCACAGTGACATTGTCAATATAGGATGTCCACCTGAGGGGTCAATTTTTGGACATTTTTACAACAAATTTGTCTTCACATAGAATATTTTACTCGGGTCTCATAACAACGCCGATGTAACATGATTGAGAATTGCTTCCATTTTAAAGATGAGGAAGTTAAAATTCCAGTGGTGTAAACACTTACTGCCTGAGATCACACACACAGTTAGGGACTCAGAACTACAACTAAACACCACCAACTCTCTACGCTCAGCCTAATGCCCTTTCACTCTACCAGCCTGAGGAGGGATCATCTCAAGGGTGAATTGCTCACTCTTTTGGAAAGCAGATTAGGACCTCTTCAAGTGCTCTGTTTTTCTAAAACTGATTCCTCTGTGGTTTTCTTGCTTTTGGTCCATTTAGGAAGGTGGTATGACAGATTGTATTTTTGACAAATGGCTGCGGCAATACCTTCCTTCACACATTTTTCTACAATATGATCTTGATGCCCCCCTCATCAAAACATGGAGTCTAATTCTACTCATTACTAACCTTGAATCTGGGTAGGCTTCTGACTAGTTTGACCAATAGAATATGACAGAAGCGACACTTCCAATGTCAGGCCATGAAAAGAATGCAGGTTTTGGCGCTCGCTCTCCCCATCTCCCCCTCTCCCCCTCTCCCCTTCCTTCTCCCTCTCTCATGAAACACTCATCTTTGGAGCTCTGAGCTACCATACATGAATTTGACTATCCTGAGGCTACTATGTCATATGTGAGGAAGCCAAACCCCATGGAGAGGCATATAAATAAAAGAGCCTTCAGATGATTCCACTGCCGACACCGATTCACCTCCAGCCATTGCGTTTTCCTAGCTGCGGCTCAGACACTGTGGAGCAGAAATGAACTGTCCCCAAGGTGCCCTGCCCAAAGTTCTGTCCCCTGGAATCTGTGAGCTTAGTTAGATGGTTATTTCAAACCATTAACTTTTTTATACTTTCATAATGCTTTTATTATGGTAAAATATATATAGCATAAAATTTTAACCATTTTTAAATGTATAGTTCAATGGCATTAAGTACCAAACCACTAAGTTTTGAGGTCATTTTTTAATGCAGGAATAATAACTGGAACCGGCAAGAACCTGTGTTATATTTAGAATAGAGAACATGAGCTGATTTATTAGTAGAGGCTGATTTCTTAACATCTGGCTGGGCTTAGCCAGGTGTGTGCATCTAGTAGGTGGGGATGGGCTTGTGTTTGAGTATTTGCCTCTGATCTGGGCCCTCTGTGGGTTGTCCTCTTATGAGCCAGGTGCTGCTCTATGATGATGCCTGGTACAGTGAGAGCAGTTGATACATATTTGTTAAATGGATGAATAAGTTACATAATAAAAAGTGGAATAGGACTCTGGTTATTTTGAGTCTGCTGAATTTATACTCTTTTACTGAGCTTATATCTGACATTCTGCCACTTCAACCCAAGCTGTGAATTCTCTTTAAAGATGAAAATCCAACTATAGTTGGCATTATTAGTTCCTTAGAAAGAGAATCGAGAGAGATAGAGCTTAAGTGATTCCATTTCTAAGCCTGATTCTTGGGAACACCGATGAGCATATTTGACTCAGAAAAGTCTCTTTGCCAGAGGCCAGAAAAAAATGTACTTGGTAGCATCTTAGAGCTAAAGGTCCCAGAGAGTTAGACCCAGGCCTGTGCCAGCTTTTATTATATCCCTTAGCTCAATGCCATGTGTACTTAGGCTCGTAAGCATTATTTCTGATTGGCCATGAGTGCTGGGAAGGAAGTGAAGTATGTGGTTCCCACTTGCCCTGTTATACAAGGCTCTGTTTCTTGCCCTTCTCTAATTAATCCTATAATATTAGCTGATGAAGAGTTGAAGGAATAATAATGGTACCAGTTACCGAGTGCTAGAGACTCCTACCACAAACAGGTTTTACAGTGACAAAATCAGGTGTATCGAAATGAATTTTTCTAGAACTAAACTTCATTTTCATGAGAACAGGAACCATGAAGATTTTGTTATCACATAGAGCCCACACCTAGCATGGTGCCTAGCATGATAAATATCAATAAATAATTGTTGAATAAAAGTGAATATTAGTGTTCTAAACTGAAGTCCAAAGACATTAGGCAATTTCTCCAGTGTCAAATAGTAAATAGCAAGATACTGTTCTAACTCCTTACACAGAATCCTTTCCTTTATGCCACAGGTTTCTGGTAGATTCATTCTTTCATTCCTTCATCTGTTGGGACTCTTTTGGATGGAAGTGACAGATAACTCAAATTGTCTTAGGCAAGATATGGGATTAATATGCTTAGGTGACTCAAGAATCTAATGACATAAATGCCTTTAGACACAGCTTAATCCAGGAGCTTAAACCATGTCATCAAGATTTGACCTCTCTCTTACTACCTGTAGCTTGGAATGAAAACACTTGTCTTTATGCTTGTCTTCTCTCTGTTTCACTTGTCTCCTTGGTTCTGGAATGGTCTTGTGCCCATTCCTGAACCAGTCACTGTGGCCATGAAAAAGTGATGTTTTGTTTGGCTAGGTCTGAGCCACGGGACCAGCTCTGGGGCCAGGGAGGGAGTCAGTCCTTACATGGAGCACATGAGTAAGAATGAGGAAGGGAGAGTTCTCTAAAAGAAAATGCGGAGTTGCTACCAGGAGTGGGTTGGCAAGAACTGCTGATCATGACCTTCATCAAACATTTTCTCTGCCGTCTTTGTGCAGAAGTCTGTTGGGGAAAAGGGAGCTACAAAGAGGAGCATGACACAGTCTTTCCCTGCCAAGGAGTTTTTGTTCTGATGGAGGATGGGAGGTATATAGTCAAGGAAAAACTAAACAAGATGTGCAAGCAAATGTAATTGCAGCAACCTGAGTGGTGACTCATCCTGTCCACTGCCCAGTTGTGGGGGGACAGCTGAGGTTTGTGGCTATTCAGTTTTCACTAGAAAGTGCATTTCCCAAATGCCCTCCTCCCTGATGCCACCACCATCACCACCTCTTAGAAAAACTCCTTCCCCCAGGCTCAAGGAGTCATTTTCTGTCTCCCCTCACTTCTGGGTAACACTTCAGTGTTTATCTTAAAGTGAAACTTCAATCTCATAAGCTTTCCAACTCAAGTTCTTCCTTGGTTTTCTGCTCCAGTCTCTCTCCAGATGACCAGCTGTGTGGCGTCAGGGCCACAATCCCAGACGTGAGGCAAGGAGGAGACAGACAGCAAAGTGGGAGGGAGTCCGATGGTGAATGGTCTTGTAGTTCATGATAAGGGACGCTGGGGGCTGTCACTAGGGGTATACAGCAGATTAATGACACAATCTAAGTTAGGTTTTCATGTCATTCAATCTCCTGTGTGTAGAATGTGTGGTGATGGTGGCTGGGGACGCAAAGTGAATGTGGGGAGAACCATTTGGAGGCTATTACATGGCTAATCTAGGGAAAAATGGTGTAACTTGGACTAGAGGCGGCTGACTATGGGGCTGAGGGAAGTAGAGAGAGACACCGTCTCCTGATGGCAGGGTCTGTAAAGAATTTGTGGCCGTATTTAATCTACCACAGATGAGAAGATTGAGGCCCAAGAGAAGGGTGTGACTGATCCATGACCACACATCAAATAAGGGTCAAGATGTGGGTCAGAGCCCAGGTCTTCTGACTTCAGTCTTATGGGGTTTATTCTATATCCACACAGCCTCTTTGGGAAGGGAAGGCAGAAATGTGTGCCTAGGGAAGAGTGAAGGCTTCCACCAAAGCCCCAGCTATAATGAAATCAGTCACATCCCTGCCATCATAGGTTCCGCCTAGG